CTTAAATGATGTCCGCTCTGCTTCCAAAACGGCGACGACATTCCATGTCCCAAATTCGTTATTGCCAAATACTGACTAAAATGTTTCCAAATACGTAGACTGGCTCATGACAGTATATACTAATTGGGATAAACTTTTCGATGCACTACTTGCTTTTCACTCTCCGCGCCGCTTGTAGCCGCCTCTTTTCCACTTTGTCAATCGATTTAATTTTTGCGAATCTTTCTATCACATTTTTAGAACTCATACATTTTCTTTCGATACAATTTTACAAAAAGGATTTTAAGCTGCTTAATTGTTATAAATTCAGTGCAACTTTCAAAAGACTAATGCGATTTTATTGTTTTATACATAGACATAATATTGTTAGGTAGACTAAATTTATTTAAGTTGTACAATTTGGCGGACAGAAGGATGAAAGAAGTAGAATGTTTCTTTTTTGTATGCCAAAATGGAAAGACTTACTAGCTAAATGCGGAAATTATGTATCACTATTAACTAGTGGAATATTTAACTTAAATTTATGTGAAGTAAACAGTTACAAAAAATCGAGAGTGTAAAAGGCGAAGTTAAAAGAAAATAAAACTAGTAATGTATTAATATAGTGTTTAGTTAAAATACAAAAATAAATTTCAACAAAAAACAAGAAAATATATTAAACTAAAAAACGCAGCAGCTACATACTCTTCTCATCTTCTATAAATTTTTACATAGAATGTAATTGATACAACTTCATTCATATAAATTGTATATTGCTACTACCTACTTTAGCTTCTTCCATTTTCAATTGAATACACATGTACTGCAGCGCATTTTCACTGCCTCATAATTGAAAATTATTTTGTTTTCTTACAGCTAACAGCTGGCGTCATATAATGTATTTTACTATTTCATTTTCTACTTTCTTTTAATTAACATCAATACTACACACTTACGAGCACAATTATTTAGACAAATTTGTTAATAAAATGCTGCTTGTTTATTCGGCATACATATACATATATCTATAATGGAAATTTTCTTCTTGAATATTCGACTTTATGTTTATGCGTGTATGTAAGTAATTAGTAAAATTTGCATATTTGCTTTGTGGAAAATTGCTGCATACCCTTACTATTCGTATCGTATGCTTACTAACTTGCTTGCTGTGTGCATTTTCAGCGATTTGCCTCATTTTATTATTTCTTTCTTTTTTTTTGTCTATTTCTAATTGGTCAGTTTCTCCCAAATGAGCATGACCATACAAATATTCGGTGTGACATGTACTAAATATGGTACTAGGCCTTTATAAAAACCACGCATATGTTCGTACCTCCATGTTTGCTTAATGCAATCCCATGAACCTGTATAGTTGAGATGATGATCCTGCAGGCGTGCACGTATCACCTGATAGGGATATGTTGCTGCAGCAGCGATGAGCTTCGATATGGCAGCGAATGCCAAATACTCAGTTGTGGCCTGCAAAGATTTAAAAGATAATAATGAAGCGGCAAGGTGCTGAATATTTTCATTTTATGTGTAATATTGTAAAAATAAAACGAAAAGCAGCGAGTTTGAAATTAAAAAGAAGAGCTTGGGTTCTATCCGGCTTTTTTGAATATCCTAATCCGAAAAAATCCGAATAATCGGATAAAAGGATAGCAAAATGAACGGATATTAACCGGATATTCAAATTTTAAACGAATATCTGAACGAATATCCGAAAACATGGATAGTTCCAGACCTTTCCAATTTTTTTTCGGGACCATTCAGAATTCCTTGCGGGTTTTTTCGGGATATCTTCGAGACTGTCTGGGATTTTAAAATTTTGTTCGAATTTATTTCCTTTTCGAGATTTTTAAAGTGGCTGTTCGAGTTTTGGGGGATTAGCAGCTTTATCAAACTTTCTATGATTTATTCAGGACCCAAACTTTTGATATTACATTGGAATTATTCACCTTTAAGATCATTTATATTAAGCACTTTTAGCTGTCTCACTTTGAGGAAACAAGCGATTTTTGTTGAGCAATGTTGAATCGCCTACATAATCGACCACATGCAAATGCAGCTTTATTTTAAATTTTTTCTAAAACTTTTGCGACTTATCTCATTTGTTTTCAGACTTTTCAAAACTTTGACGCCAAAAAGTATGCAAATCTTAATTTCTATAAATGAGCGCCTAAAAAATAAAAATGCAAAAATGTCTTGTTTTTTTTTTGCTCAAAAAAAAATATCAGGCCAACTTTACCTTTTATGTATATACTTTTGCCTTATAAAAGATAAAAGGGCTTTATTGCTAAAAATACGAAAAGCGAAAAATTAACTAAAATATTTTCACTTAAATTATAAAATAACAGTTATCTCACTTTTCAAGTTTATATCAGCTTCACAAACGTCGATAATCGCGACACAGATGTGGCCATTGTAACCACTAATGAATTCGTATTAAATAAACAGAAAACAATAAAAAAAATAACCACAGAAATAAGCAAAATTTATGGGTTTGTTTTTTTTTTTGCGCAAAAAAAATATTTCTGAGAAAGGTGCAACGTTCGCCTACTTTGTCGCATATTGACTACGTGTTATCATTTTAATTATCACATATAAAAAGCGAATGTGTAAGTGAACCAATAGTCTAATAATTTTCTAAAAAGTCGCCCGACATATCAACACATCAGAGCTTAGTATAAGTGAGTTTATTCTAAAGTCAAACAATTTGTATACATATTCATCGCCGCAATCGCGTCATACAAAAATTCGCTTTTTATTTGGCATCAGGCCAAAAACCAAAGGCATTAAAACATTTCTAACAATGCAGATCGAGTATGTATGGCGGCGCGTGTGGCCACGAACATAGACATGTGATCGTTGTGTCGGGTGGGTAGAAATTTGTATTTCTTTAAGCATAGAGATGCAAAAAATTTTGTTAAGCAAAGAGCCTTCAAGGTTTCAGCATGAAATTTGTACAAGATCACACAAGAAAAAATCGGTTGGCCGATTGTATTAAATGTGTCTGCTAGATAATAAATATTATACATAATATTAATTCCATCACTCACCAATTTGGTGTCGATCGGCAATTTACGATATGTATTATAGTAGTTCTTCATCTCTTCATAGGTCATAAACTGCAAAGCTCCATGTGACACGCCAAACATGCCGGGAATGAAGCCCTAAATGTTGATCAATAGCATAAACGCATAAATTATTTATATTCACTTCACATCTATGTATGTATATTTGTCTGCACTTACCCTATACAAACCACGAATGCCCTCCTTACGGTAGATCTGCGCCAGCGCATGCACCATACCGCGATATTCCGACGCCTTATTGCCTGAAGCCTCGGCGCCATATTGTAAACACAAACGCGTCTTTACCACCCAAATGGGGTTTGTAAGTATCAGAGTGAGCACACCAGACTCAGCCGCGGCCAACATGTGCAATGTCGGTCCCAATGGCTGGGTCGTATTACCGCCCTGTATGAAGGTCTTTATTGTGTTGTAGCTGAAACCGAAATTAGCTCAATTAAATAAAAAATTCCATATTGTAGCGAAGTGCAGCCAGAAGCAGTTAAAATACTTACAACATGAAATAGAACCCCCAAGCGGAACCTGAGCCCCAGATATTGGGTGTAACACCTTTGTAGAGTCCACGAAAACCTTCCTGTCGGAAAATAGTCGAGAATGCGCTGCTCAGACTGCTATATTGTGGCACTGTAGTTGTGCGTCCATCGTTTACTGTAAAATTGCCAAAAAAAAAAGGATAGTTGTTATTGCAGTAGAAACCAGTTTACTTTGCAATGAAAATTATTAAATAATCCAAATAGAGATACATAGATATTCTAAAACGAAAGTCAATAAAAAAAACATATTCATAATACTTTTCACATAAACTACGTAATTTTATCGCCAACTTGTGTCGCGAATTGACGTCACATACGGATGTTTAAGAGCGAGATTTTGCTTAATTAGTTTCACACGTTGACGCTAAAATTGTAAACACAACTACAAGCATACGTACACGCATGTATTTGACAGGTTAATATACACAAGTATAGAGCAATAGAGATTTCTCTGTTAGCTAAAAATTATTTGCGAACTCAAATGTGAACAAATATTATGAATTACTGTACTCGTGTTAATATAATTTCCATTGTTTGGATAAATGACTGTTACAATAAATTTTGTCAAACTATGTTGTGTGGCGAATGTAACCCTGCAAAAAGTGGGCACAAGTAAACCTGACATAATTGAAAAACAAAAATATTTAAATTAATTTAATTTATTTATCATTGTAATATGCACGCATGTATGTACATATGTATGTATATGAAATAAATATTTATTTTTGATTAGCTACCCACAGTAACAGTTAGAAAAAAATTATAAAATGCATGTAAATACATATTATTTACTAAGTACAAGCAAACAACAAATTTTACAATGGCAGTCTGGACAAGCCTCTTAACCTAACTTATTTTCTTGTCGATATGGAATAGACGTGGAAACAAACAAAATCATAAAAATTAATATGTCGATGGTTCTGTGCAATAACGACACAATGCAAAATTCAAAAAACAAAAACTATTACCACTCTTAAGTGGCTCATGCCTCGAACCCTTGTCGAATACATGTCTAATCTTTTGTACTTACTTTATCAGTCCTCACTGCTTACTTTAGTAAGTAATGGAAATTGATTAGACAAGGATTTGAGACAGGAGCCTTTTAACAGTGGTAACAGTTTTTGTCTTTTGAATTTTTAATTGTGTCGTTATTGCACAGGACCATCGATATGTACAAATGTTTGTATGTATGTTTGTGTGTAAACTTGGCGGTGCTGTTGTCAATCGTTGGCGTCAAGTTCAACTAAAGGTAGGTCCAGAAAACGTACTGTTTCGACGGGGTCGGAACAGAGGGAAAGGGGTGTTAGGTGAGTTCGGTTGAGTGGCAGGTGAAGTATTGGTTGGTGTTGTGGAAGGAGCCTACACATGCGGGCATAAGTTGGGTACGTCGGGCTCTAGTCTGGACAAGTAGTAGGATTGGTCTGCTAAAATATCAGACCGCAATTGGGTCAGAGTTACGCGAGTCTCTCTTAGTAGTAGAATCTCGCTTTCGTCGACAAGTGGTGATTGCACTCTTATGATGGCATTCACCGACGGGAATGAGTGTAGGTGGTGACAGTCTCCCTGTGATTGCCGTTGATATCCAGTATGTACAGTACCGAATGCAGCGGTTTGTTGTATGTACATATTGTTGGGCCTAGTCCTTCACTTCTTAGAGGTACTTTTTGTCGTACCTAAATGGAGATTCCGCCTAGAGGAAGTATTTGTTCGGGTGTTCAAGTCTGTAGCACCCAACTTGGAACTGCTTGCTGCGTTTACGGCATTTGGCGACAAATATGTATGTATATATGTAAAGACACTTTGTCAAATGTAGTTAGAAACAGTGTACCAAATAATCAAGGATTAGCGAGAACACTGGTTACATCAAGAACAGTCAAAATTGTGTGTGAACTCTCTCTGAACTCTAAATTGGTACTAGAATTAAAATTAAAACTACAATTCAATTAAAAAAATTTAATATTCAAGTCTCAAGTGTATAAATTAGGTAAAAATAAAGAAATATGTAAATAAATGAGGTAAACTGAGAACTACTATCTCTATCGACTAAATTGGTGTATGGTGTCAAGCACTACATACCATATTTAAAAAATGGGAGCTATTTACAAAAATTTTGTTTGTTTTCATAATAAATTTACAACAAAAAGTCTACAGTTAATGCCGTAGTTAACTTTTCCAATTTCAAAACGTGTGGTGCTAACTTCAAAACGTCTTTTTTTGCTGATTACGAATCCGTAAGTGTAAGGTGTCCATCAGCTCCGTATTTTGAGAAAACGAGGTCAAAGTGTCAAAAAATCGCATTTTTGCAATATTTTAGAAGCTTTAGCAAAGAAAAAAAAAGCTTATAGAATCTTTCACTACCCCTGCACCTTAACTTAATGGACACTTATATTCATTTATTGAACAGCAACAAACAAACTCTGATAACAAATTTTACACCATCAATTTGACTCTCAGCAATCGCTTGTTTTTCGCTAAAAATATTCGATTGCCACGCTTGTAATTCTCACGTTCGTAACCCTTGGCCCATATACGAAAATGGGACGATAATAAAAAAATGTAATTAATGCAACAACATCAGATATTTTTCCATAGAGATAGCTCGCTATCACTTAGCAGCCAATTACATTAACATTTAATGCTCAAAACCTCTGCTGCGGCCCAAAATAAAATATGTATCAGCATTAAGAGCGATAAAAACACTATACATATGTACATACATGCAAGTCAGACTGTATTTGCGTTTGCAATTATCGCAAGTGTGATTGATTGATTGATTTCAAGCACAGCAACAAGTTGTTTAGGGTTGGTTTTTTTTTGGCAAATAAATACCTAATACAGACATTTTCAAATTTACCTATGATTAAAAAATATATATTCTCTTTTACCATATTTATTAACGACTCAATATTAAAATATTCGTTATCACAGGACACGTATGCACGCACATACGTAAACAGTTTCAAGTGTAAATAATAAAAATAAAAGCATAAAATATAAAAAAAATCATCAAAACAATTTCTGGCCAACGCAGTACAGTCTGTTTTTTTTTTGGTTCTTAGTTTTTTTCGCGGCTTCTTTCTCATAGTTGCCATGTACATACATACATATGTATGTACTTGTATGCCTAAAAAAAGGGGCTCGTCTGTGGCACGTTTCAACGATCGACGACGTCTTGACATCGCAGTCTATTTTTAGCAATGAACTCTCAGTTTAGCTGCCACACTTTTTTTCACTAGTTACTTAAATAATTTTCTTGCACAAGTAGTTAATAGATAATAGTTTTGTTGCTTCGTTGTTTTTTTTTACGCAGTCGTGTAATTAACCATGAAAAGCGTGTATGTGTACAATTTAATATCGGGAACAGCCACATAGGAATAAAAGAATTGGCTAATCTAAGATATGCATTTTGCATTCGCTTTTAAGAGCTTTTTAACCAGTACTAACTCGTTTGAAATCAGCTTTTTGGCCTTGTTGTGCAAATATAGCACGTACCCTATGTAGAGACCATAAACAATTGCAGTAATTGCTAAAAAAAAATTTGAAGTAAAATCAGTTAGCAGCAATTTTAAATACATACATATGTACATACACCCAGAAGATAATTTAAGTAGGCCTTCTTAAGTGAAGCCAGTCTAAAAAGCCTACCCAAGAAGGGATGAAAACGTGCTACCTTGCATGCCTTCTAGAAGGTATTTTCCTATTTACAATTTACTCGAATGTGCAAGTTTATATTTTTTAACATTACAAATGAATTTAATTTTAGATTGCAATAAAGCAAATTTGATATGAACCTTAAATAAATACCTTAAAGAAGTATGATCTTTATGAATTAAAAGCGCAGCTTCATAAGAACTCCTCCAAAAGGCCTTCTGAAATACAAAATTCTACAAAGCCCTTCTATGGGTTGCGAATGCAAAAGACCTTCAATTTCTGCAAATCTATACAAAAAGAAAGGAGAAAGGAATGTAGAGTGGAAGGCC